TCTATTTAAAGTATAAATGATGAATGACATACTGGTATCACTAACCATCAACTTTCTTTCCTCTTCCCACAGTAGTTCGACCAGTAAGTGTCTCTATTTAAAGTATAAATGATGAATGACATACTGGTATCACTAACCATCAACTTTCTTTCCTCTTCCCACAGTAGTTCGACCTGTAAGTGTCTCTATTTAAAGTTTAAATGATGAATGACATACTATTATCACTGACCATCAACTTTCTTTCCTCTTCCCACAGTAGTTCGACCAGTAAGTGTCTCTATTTAAAGTATAAATGATGAATGACATACTGGTATCACTAACCATCAACTTTCTTTCCTCTTCCCACAGTAGTTCGACCAGTAAGTGTCACTATTTAAAGTTTAAATGATGAATGACATACTGGTATCACTAACCATCAACTCTGTTTCCTCTTCCCACAGTAGTTCGACCAGTAAGTGTCTCTATTTAAAGTATAAATGATGAATGACATACTGGTATCACTAACCATCAACTTTCTTTCCTCTTCCCACAGTAGTTCGACCAGTAAGTGTCTCTATTTAAAGTATAAATGATGAATGACATACTGGTATCACTAACCATCAACTTTCTTTCCTCTTCCCACAGTAGTTCGACCTGTAAGTGTCTCTATTTAAAGTTTAAATGATGAATGACATACTATTATCACTGACCATCAACTTTCTTTCCTCTTCCCACAGTAGTTCGACCAGTAAGTGTCTCTATTTAAAGTATAAATGATGAATGACATACTGGTATCACTAACCATCAACTTTCTTTCCTCTTCCCACAGTAGTTCGACCAGTAAGTGTCTCTATTTAAAGTTTAAATGATGAATGACATACTGGTATCACTCTAACCATCAACTCTGTTTCCTCTTCCCACAGTAGTTCGACCAGTAAGTGTCTCTATTTAAAGTATAAATGATGAATGACATACTGGTATCACTAACCATCAACTCTGTTTCCTCTTCCCACAGTAGTTCGACCAGTAAGTGTCTCTATTTAAAGTATAAATTATGAATGACATACTGGTATCACTGACCAGCAACTTTATTTCCTCTTCCCACAGTAGTTCGACCAGTAAGTGTCTCTATTTAAAGTATAAATTATGAATGACATACTGGTATCACTGACCATCAACTTTATTTCCTCTTCCCACAGTAGTTCGACCAGTAAGTGTCTCTATTTAAAGTATAAATAGTGAATGACATACTGGTATCACTAACCATCAACCTTCTTTCCTCTTCCCACAGTAGTTCGACCAGTAAGTGTCTCTATTTAAGGTATAAATGATGAATGACATACTGGTATCACTAACCATCAACCTTCTTTCCTCTTCCAACAGTAATTTGACCAGTGAGTGTCTCTATTTAAAGTATAAATGATAAATGACATACTGGTATCACTAACCATCAACCTTCTTTCCTCTTCCAACAGTAATTTGACCAGTGAGTGTCTCTATTTAAGGTATAAATGATTGACACGATTAATGTATATATTGTACCACTAACCTTCAATCTTCCTTCCTCTTCCTCTTTGACCAGTAGGTGTTTCTATTTAAGGCATAATAATACAGTTTTATTGGTTTTGTTTAGACAGCTGCTGTGCACTTTTACATTTCACTCAGCTGATACTTCACATGCAGATTCTGAATTAAATGCTATAATGCAACATACTTGACTCTTACTTTGTAATGATTGAGAATGATATTGACTAAGCCAAAGATTGTAGCGGTCATCTCCTTGTAAGTCATAACCATTTTCATACCGCTTAGTAAAAATGGTCCATTCCTTTTCAGTAAAATCATCTTCTAGCTCCAAAGAATGTCTCATAGATGAAGCATACAAAATAGACATAGACTCAGGTGTTTCAGTATAAACTTCATTCTTTTGTCCTAGATGATATAAATTCATCAGTAACATAAACTAATTTTGTAGTTTTTCAATATAAACCTTTTTTGTTAAGTTTTTTCTGTTTTGCTTTTTCTTCTCTCTCGGCTTTCCGTCTTTCTTTCTCCTTCTTCTCTTCTTCCTTTTTCCTCTCCTTCTCTTCCATAAGCTCCATATTTTCCTTACTGGTAAGGACCTTTCCAAAAGATTTTGGGTTTTTTGTAGGTACCTTACTAGGGTGCATTGGTGTGACCAAAAATTGAGTGACAGAAGTAGCTCTCGAAACATCATGATCATCAGGAATAGACGTATTGCTATCAGATCTAGGTGTTGAACAGCCAGATAATGATTTATCGGAGTAGTGTCTCGCTGGACTGTACAGAGGTATATATGCCAGACCAGTTTCCTCTTGAAGAGACTTAGGGCCTGCAGGTGGAGGAGTATCAAGAGCTCTTCGGCTAAATGGGCAAATACCAGCAACTTCAAAACCAGACATTATATTTTTAGGGGTCATTGCAAGTTTCCATGCTTCTGAAAATATTGCCGAAAAGTCGTATCTAGTAATTACTCTGCCAGGATTTTTGACATAAAATCTGTGACAAAGCTCCTTCCAATATGTTTTGAGTGGAGAGAAACAACCTCTGTCAAGAGGTTGAGTGAGGTGAGTGGTATGAGGTGGCAGTGTAAATAAGAGGACCTTCTCCTTTGCAGCTAATCGTACTACTTCAGGGCAATAGTGACTAGAATGACCATCCATTAATAAAAGGACTGGCCTCTTTTTTGGAATTAAAGCTAAAAAATGCTTGTAAAACCATCCCGTAAACAGCTCTTGGTTTATCCACCCTTTCTCAGATAATCCATACATAGTTTCAGGAATCTCTCCCCTTATTAGCTCAGGATTTAAAGTTTTTCGGTCAAAAATCACCATTGGTGGTAGTGCTGTACCACTAGCACTTACACAAGCCAAAACAGTTATTTGCATCTTAGTATCCCCAGATATAGAATGGACATTTTTGGCTCTACGATGAGTAACAACCTTTAATCCTTTAGGGTTCAGGGGCATACCTGTTTCATCGCAGTTATAAATGACTGTAGGATCATTGAAAATACGATTTTTCTTAAGAGTATCTTCTAGAATATCAAAGTATCTGTTTAGTGAATCATTATCCATTGCCTTAGCACGTATTGTTGATAGTGGAACTGCTGATCGTAAAGCAATTTCTTTATGTCTCTCACTAAATCTTTGCCACCAGCCTGTTGTAACTGTCCTTTTCAATCCCTTCAAATCAATGGCTTGCTGAACAATTGCTAAAATTTGGGAAATAGTGTGGGGATAACCAATGTCAGCACAGCGAAGTAAAAACCGAGCAAGTTCATCTTCTTCCTCCTTCGTGAGATAAGCTGAAGGACCAGGATGTGCTCCGTGCTGAACCTTACCAGATACCCGATCATGCAGTGTAGACTTTGGCACACCAAACAGTTCACTTGCATGACGAACGGACATACCTTCCTCCTCCACTGCCTTCAATGCTTTAATCATGCTTACATCTTCCCACTGACAATAATATTGGGGTCTTTCGATAACAAGCTTGGAAGGGTCAGCCTCTACTAACGAATTAGATACCAGTATTCTTCCTGATAGAGGTTTTTTTGACATGTCAACAAACTTCACCTAAATCAAAACAGATCTATGCTTGATAAATGAAGTGTAATACTTGCCTTATCGAGTGAAACCGAGAGTGAAACACAGTAATAACAGCTTATCAACCTCGTTATCAAGATTAAAACAACTGAGGTGAGACTCATGAGACCTGACACAGCAAACAACACGAGGCAGCAGCGTATTGGGTGGAGCATAAGTGGACGACAATTAGAGTTTCACTTAAAATTCTGTTCGAGCTCCATGTACGTGAAGTTGAAGGGAAAAGGTTTGTGCCTCACAAAGAAGAAGGGCTACTAAGTAAGTAAGAGTGTTACTGCAACCTTGCAATTGCTGTATTTACCAATACTAATAAAATGTACTAAATTTGATTTTATCTGACGATATTTGACTATTGTCGGACGTCTAATACTTTTAAAGATAACTAGAACAAAACTAGCTTAATGCAGCTCATATTTACTACGCAATCTCAATTAGCTTAGAGTTATATTGTGTGAAAATTTCAGAGCGGCAGCAAGTCTAAAAGACGAGATAGAGCTGTCCGGAATCTAATGTGTCCAGAAATTGCTTCCTTACTCTAGATAGGTCTTGGGAGTTCATGACTGTTCTTTGTGACGGTTAAGCATAGATTTGTTGACAGAATCTTCGCCGCCTCTCGCAGCCCATGTTATCATTGAAATTGCCTTTGTGATGGCACAAATTAACGAATACAGCTATTATTTTTCCAAAGTGCGGTCTATGGCTTATATAATAGGCTAAAGGCATGTGAAAAACCCTGATCTTTGTTACAGTTTTTGTCCTTTATCCTAATTTTACTTACTTTTTGTGATATAGGTTGAACAGATACGCCTCTAAAAACAGACATTTTGGGATCTTATGATCTGTATGAAGCACTAGTGATAATAAAAGTGTTTTAGTGGCACGTAGCTTTACTTGATGCATGTTTTTTATATTGACACTCTCAGTTTTAGTTACCCTTAGCAAGTTATAGGTTGAATAGATTTCACACCTATTACGCATGGTAAAAAAGCCATGCTTTTTCTCATTTTTCTTCAAAATAAAGTGCTGTATTACAGCTTTAACAGTTTCTGATAAGTAAGCAAACCTTCAGCAACAATATAAGCTATATAACTTCCCTGGATCTACACTTAATCCAGCAGTCCTCTCAGTCATAACAACGAGCCGGGGAAGGGGCAGAGTCTTACAAGGTTCGTCCGCACCTGCTTTCATTAATTTGAATGAGATCACGTGATCTGTTTCCTATCCCTATTACTTAGTAATACAATCTATGGTAGGGTTGAGTTGGACGATCGCGCCCCCAAAATGGCTGCCATCCCAGAAGCATTGAGCCCATTTAATATCTTTAGAATTTTTTTATGGCTTATCTGACAATCCAGATGTCCTTTATAATTTCATCAAAACAGTTTAGTGTTATAAAAAGTAGTTAAAAACTTCCATAAGATAGTTTTACGGCAAATAAATGCATGCATGCCTGCATGCACCAAATTTTCAGGTTTGTTCTTCTTCCACAGTTAAGTAAAAACTAGTCCTAGAGTTTTTATCCTAGAAATATAATTTTTGCACCATTGTGTTGCGTTTCAGGGACGCTAGTGCAGTGTGGCTTGGCATTGTAATTCTGGAAAATGATTTCTTGTCATTATTTTCAAGCACACATGGACTCACCAAGTGGTTGGACGCCATTTGATTCAACCAACTGCGCATGCTCAGTAATATTTTAATGGAGAGAAATAGGAAACCTTCGTAAGAACCTTTTACAATTACTGACGGTGCTAATACTGACTGATCTGTGACCATATTGAGATGAGATGATGTGCATGCCTAAGCACCCGGATATCTACTGATGTGACACCAATCACTTCCAGTCAGAGAAATTATTGTAAGTAAACTTCCACTCCATTTATAGCCTATATATACTGCTTTCCCATTTCATGCCCACATTTC